ATAAACTATAGTGGAAATGCTTTAGGGCAGTGGATGGGCAAGAATTTTTTTGATCAGACTCTAAAAGCACAGGAAACAAACATGAAAATAGACAAATGGGATTCACCAAACTTAAAAAACGTGTGCACAGCAAAGGAAACAACTGACAGAGTGGAGAGTCAAGCTACAGAATGAGAGAAATAATTTATAGAGAGTGAATCTGACAAGGGGTTAATACACAGAATACATAAAAAATCCAAAGAACTCAACAGATATAAAGCAAATAATCCAATTAGAAATAGGCAGACCTTAACAGATACTTCTTAAAGGAACACACGCAAATGGCCGGCAGACATGAGGAAAAATGTTCAGCATCACTATCCATTCAGGAAATGCAAGTCAAAGCCTTCAGATGTCAATCATCCCAGGTAGACTGGCCATCATCAAAGACAAAAGGTAACAAGCGCAGGCGAGGATGAGGAGAAAGGGACCCCAAGCACAGCACTGGTGGGAATGTAAGTAAGTACAGCCTGCAGGATGGAGGCTCTAAAAACGCTGATCTCACAGAAACTGAAAAACAGCAATTAACAGAGGCTGGGGGTAGTTAGTGGGTAGGGCGGTATGGGGAAATTTCAATGAATGGGTGCTAAGATACAGTTAGAAAACAGAAACACAGTGACTAGAGATACTGAAAATATACTGTGTATTTTTCTAAAGAAAAAGGAATCTGGAATGATTTTACCCTAAAGAAATGATAAATGTTGGAGGAGATAGGTATGTTTATCCTCATTTACATTATGCAATGTGTACACAGATGGAGACATCCCATGGTACCCCATAAAAGCAGTTTTTATGTTAGTTAAAAATCAATTTAAAAAGTAAGATTAAAAAAATTATTAGCAGATATACAAAAAGTTAAAAACATTTTCATTTTTGGTAAGTGAAACCAACACTGACATGGTTTTATGCTTCTAATGTATACATTTATTTAAATTTTCTAAAATAAGCATACTTTTTAACATATTAAAAATTAAAAAAACAAATCTGAAAACTTAGGAAACAAACTCAGTCTCTGGTATATCTGAGTGTCCCTGACACGTAGTTTTACATACATAAAAAACGTATGTATTATCCAGAAAGCTACCATATCATTTAAGCCATCTGGTATCTGATGTTTCTTTATACAAAATTATCTGCTTTGGTAATATTCTTTGATTTCATTTTAAATAATTATATACTATTCTATTTTGCAAATGCACCAAAATTTATTTTTTTCCCAAAGAAACCTTTTATTTAAGGAGTGCAGATTTCATAAGTACAACTTTAGGAATATAGTGATTCTTCCCACTTTATCCACCCTCCCACCCCACCTCCTCCTCCCTCTCCCATTCTCCATTAAGATTCATTTTCAATTAACTTTATACACAGAAGACCAACTCTATACTAATTAAAAATTTCAACAATTTGCACACACACACACAAACTGAAAACAAGTTTTATAGTAGATTCTCATAATACAACTCACTGAGGACAGAAGTTCTCTATGGGAAGTGCACAGTGACTCCTGTTGTTAATTTAACAATTAATTCTCTTACATATGACGTCAGTGATCACTCCAGGCTCTTGACATGAGCTGCCTAGCTATAGAAGCCTTCTGAATCATAAACTCCGTCGGTATTTAGACAAGGCCATAAGCAAAGTGAAGTTCTCTCCTCCCTCCAGAGAAAAAGTACATTTTTTTTTTTTGATAGGTAGAGTTATAGACAGTGAGAGAGAGAGACAGAGACAAAGGTCTTCTTTCCATTGGTTCACTCCCCAAATGGCTGAGACCAATGGCGCTGCGCTGATCCAAAGCCAGGAGCCAGGTGCTTCCTCCTGGTCTCCCATGTGAGTGCAGGGCCCAAGAACTTGGGCCATCCTCCACTGCCCTCCTGGGCCACGGCAGAGAGCTGGACTGGAAGAGGAGCAACCGGGACAGAATCCAGCGCCCCAACCAGGACTAGAACCCAGCACTCATATGGGATGCCGGCGCCGCAGGCAGAGGATTAGCCAAATGAGCCACAGCACAAGCCCCAAGTACATCTTTGATGGCCACTTCTTTCCACTGGGGTCTCACTCACAGAGATCCTTCATGTAGGACATTTTTTGCCACAGTGTTTCGGCTTTCCATGCCTGAAATGTTCTCATGGGCTTTTCAGAATGCACTAAAATGTAATGGATCATCTTAATGATAAATATTTAGATCTTCCCCATTTTTAATACTGTAAGCAAAGCTACAACAAAGCACCTTTTTACAAATCTCTAAATTTCAATATTTGGAATTGCAGTCTTAAGGGATATGCATTTTTAAAGTTTGTCACATACACTATCCTGTCAAATAATGATCAACGTAGTTTGTACCCACGACCAAGTCAACTAATAAGCGGCATCATACCAGAATTCATTGCTTCTCGTTCACTGTCAAGCTGCTATCAAAGAGGGCATTTTGTTTTAATCTTCACTGAAGCTTCTCCTTTTTCATTTATATTTATTTGAGGGAGAGCTCTCATTCACCAAGTCACTCCCCAGAAGCTCACAAAGTCCATCTAGGTCTCCGATCTGAGTGGCAAGGACACAACTGTTGCTCACTGCTGCACCCCAGGGAATGCATCAGAAACTGGAACGGGGATCTGAACGCATGCACTCCAATACAGGACTCAGGCACTTTAACCAGTCTTAACCACTGAAGTGCCCGCCCAAAGGACATTTTTTCTGATGACTGAAATTGTATACTTTTTTTCTCAGGCATTTTTTATTTGAGAATTACCTGATCATAGCTTTTGTTCATTTTTTTCTTGGAGGTGATGCTTTTATCTCTTTAGAAGTTCAGTATATATATATTTTTTTTTTGACAGGCAGAGTGGACAGTGAGAGAGAGAGACAGAGAGAAAGGTCTTCCTTTGCCGTTGGTTCACCCTCCAATGGCACCGCGCTGATCCGATGGCAGGAGCCAGGAGCCAGCTACTTATCCTGGTCTCCCATGGGGTGCATGGCCCAAGCACCTGGGCCATCCTCCACTGCACTCCCTGGCCACAGCAGAGGGCTGGCCTGGAAGAGGGACAACCGGGACAGAATCCGACGCCCCGACCGGGACTAGAACCCGGTGTGCCGGCGCCGCTAGGCGGACGATTAGCCCAGTGAGCCGCAGCGCCGGCCAGAAGTTCAGTATATATTAAAGGCTCTAATAGTTTATAATAAATGTGACAAATATGACTCCTAGCTTGTGACTTTTAATCTTGTTTCTACAAGAGCAGTCTTTGTGATATCTTCTATTTTTCCATCAGGTTTATCATGAGGTATTCCTATGCATGGTAAATTTCCCAAATCTGAAAATCATGAGGATCAACTTTGGAGAAGATCACTAATTGGGAAAAGTGTTCATGATCAAGCAGAGAAGAGTAACGAACTTTCTAAAAGTGAAAGAACAGAAAGTGCAATATGAAATGTTTGAAGTGCATCTGAGCGACACACGCAGGCATCAGTCCCTGAGGACACTGGAGCACCCTCTGCCGAGGGCCCTCACTCCACCTCCCCAACGCCTGATCTGTGTGGATCCATGCAGCCAGTAACGTGGAAAACACGAACCGGTGGGGTGGGAGTTCATGAAACACGACCCACGTGAAATACACAGAGCATAGGAACCACTTACCCGGCTTAGGCTTTCCCACAAAAACCAATGTGTGCCCTAAAGAATCTTTTTGTTAGGCAGAAATCATCTACAATATTGCAACTGGAAGAAGATACTGTACACTCTTAGGCAATTTGGACACGATGACTCCAGTAACAGAAAATTTAGTTTTATTATAGGCACTTTATGCAAACAGTTTGATATTTTTAACTACTTTCTTAATCTTTGAGCAACAGTTACAGTCCAAATGAGAAAATATAAACAAAATTACATACTTTATTGAAAAAAATCTACTTTGAATTTTTATAAATTTTACAGTGCAATTAAGCCACTCTGCCCCACCTGACAATCTCTCTCCTCCTGTTCCTTTGACGACGACATCTCTGAGGACTCTGACGGGCTTACTTTGCTCTTGGTAGGAAATGATAAGCAGGTAACTCTATGTAATCCAGTAGGTGCAGACTCTAACTTCCGTTAGATGCCATATTGAACACAAATATTAACAAGTATCTCCCATCTCCCACGGCCACAGTTCACTGGCGCTTTCCTCCAGCCTGGACACTGACCATGGAGAAGTAGATGCCTTTCTGTGCCAGCAGCTGGTGGTGAGTGCCGCACTCTTTGACTCTGCCGTTTTGGAACACCACTATCATGTCTGCGTTCTGGATGGTGGACAGGCGGTGCGCGATCACGACGCAGGTGCGGCCCTCCCGGGCCTTGTCCAGGGCTTCTTGGACCACCTGTTCAATGACCGCACAGATGAATCCCAGTAACAGCAGCCCTGTTCTCCAATTCCTCCTCCTGAGCAAGCCCCACAATTTCTCCAGCATCTCACAGATTCTTTCACAATGGGGTCAGTGAAACATAACAGATTGTACAAAGTCAGGGACCTGTCACATCAGAAGGTCACTGAGGGGCCAGCGTTGTGGCGCAGCAGGTAAGGCCACCACCTGTGACACCAGCATCCCATGTGGACACCAGTTCATGTCCCAGCTGCTCTACTTCCAACCCTGCTCCCTGCTAAAGTGCCTGGGAAAGCAGCAGAAGATGGCCTGAGTGCTTGGGGCCCTGCACCTCTGTGAGAGACCGGACTGAAGCCCCTGGCTCCTGTGGGAAGCATGGGCGTGAACCAGCAGACAGCAGATCACTGTCTCTCCCTCTCTCTAACTCTTTCAAATAAATAAAAATCTTTTAAAAAGAAAGAAAAAAGATCACTCAGCCCCAGCTGGGATTGGTTCTACATCAACAGTTATCTGTGCATTCAACACAATCCACCCATGATTAAAAACATTAGCCCACACGCCCCGCCACACAGCATCCGGGTCAGCAGCCCTCAAATCCTGTTTGCAGCAAATTCAGGAAGTCTGAGCAAAGCCGAACACAGCTTCCCTAAACTGTCCTATTTTAAAGACAGGAAGCATCTGATAATCAGTTTGTCTCTCAGAGAGCTGAATTCCTAACCTTGTCTCAAACTGAAAATGATTACAATATTCACCTTAAGGAGCAGTCTGACTTTAACCTCTCCTGAGCCTCCCACTTTTTCACACAGTTGCTAAGGAGACGCTGCCCACATAAGGGGAGAGGCGCCGTTGAGCACTGCTGCTGGGGTCAGTACCACGTCATGCAGAGTCGCCCTTCCCAAGGGACCTGAAGGAAGACTACCATGCCCCGGGGCGTCCTTGCTGCCTGCGGTAAGTTACAGACAGCATTTAAACGCCATGGAAGCGGACCTAACTATCAACATCGCTGCCTCAGCCTCCTCCTCTCCCATGATGAAAGCATCAGTGCAAGCCTTCCAAGGATGACTGACAGGTAGGAAGGAGCCCACTCTAAACTCTTACCTTCTCACTTTCTGTATCCAGAGCCGACGTGGCTTCGTCCAGAAGCAGGATGTGCGGCTGCCGCACGAGGGCGCGGGCGATGGCAATCCGCTGCTTCTGGCCGCCGGAGAGCTGGGTTCCCTTGTCTCCCACCCTGGTGTTGTATTTCTGTGCACAGGATTTGGGATTATGAAAGTGCAACCCATAACAAAGTCCTCACAGTTCACTTACAGAAAATGTGACAACCATTTCCATGCACACAAAAATATCCTGGTGCAGAAACTAAGAACTGGTTCATGGAGAGTTAACCAACCAAATAATAGCTCTAAATGACAGGTTTAACATGTTTTTGAAAACGGATGTTTGAGACTTAAAATTATATGTTTCATTGTAAAAACTCCAGCATTCTTATGAGGAAAAATACTGTTGCAATGCTATTGTTTTCCATCTTCTGGTTTTGCTATATTTGAGAGGAAGATTAGCAGAAGGACATTTGACTTGCACAGGCTCTACAGAAGAAAATTTGCAACCAGCAGGTGGCGCAAGCACGCTGCATAATTTTACAGTGAGCCCTTCCGAGGCTGCTGCCTTGGGTACCTGTTGGTATAAAACTATCTCCAATGCCCAGATAAGGAATTCCACTTTGAAAATTTAAATTCCCATTGCCTTTTATTCAAAATTTAGAGTTCTTCCAAAATTCTTGACATACTATTTGCCACGAGAGTTAACTGTCACTAACCAGTCCACATGACGACAGGGACAAGAGTTAAAGGTCAGGAAAATGGGTAGAAGTAGGGCACGGCAGAGCGTTTAACAGAAAACAGCAGTAGCTTAGGGCTGCCAGGCTCCTGCCTGGCTGGAGTTTTAATCAAGCTAAAACGTGCCACACTGAGTCTCACTCCCAGAGTCCGACCCAGGGCACTCAAGTTCCACACAGTACCCTGCCCTGATCTGCTGTATCTGGTCTGTCTGGTTCCATGGCGCTGGGACCAAGGTCTCCCTCATGGACAGAATGAGGAGATTCCAGGTGAGGAACCAGCTGCATAGCACAGGGTGCTCCCCAGAGCAGAGCTGCATCAGAAGGCCGGGGCACTAGAGTGGGTACCGTGTGGGTGTGGGAGGGTGGCCAGGTCGCACGATGGATAGGGATCCTGGCGTGGCTGACAGAGCAGGGAGGTGCTAACAAAGGCAGCTTCCTGCAGGCGGGGCTAGTCCTACTACGGGGCAGTGCATCTGGAAATGGCAACAACCCAGGGGCTCTGCTCTCTCCAGGCTGCACACAGGGGAAGAGAAGCCTGTCTCCATGAGCCCGGGCACAGAGGGACAAGAGGCACTTAGCAGGAGATGTAATGGTCGCTCTGTGCACGTGTGGCGTTCCTCCAACTCGAGCCTGATCAGGGCCAACAGTGCCATCAGAACAGACTGCTGGACTCCACCTGCCACGGTTCCCACTCAGCAGGTCTGAGTGGGGCACAAATCTGCCTTCTGAACAAGTGCCCGGTGATGCTGCTCCAGGCTCCAGACCTGAGTACCACTGACTCAGCAGCAAAGGCAACAAGGCCATAGTGTTTCAAACATTCGTGCTCTGAGAAGGGTCAATTACCCAGCTGGGCTGGTGTTAACCCAAGAGGAGGGAGTGAGGCCTCCCACCTGGGGCCTGCAGGAGAGCAGAAATCTCAAGAAATGGGGTCCTGGGGGTGCTCAGTCCCCTGGGGGACAGTTTTCCCAGCTGGTTTGAGGCTACTGAGCTTTGCTTTCCCCACAGCGGTGATGATGGGCGAGTTGGGCCAGCCAGGGTGAAATGCACTTCAAGTTAAAGGATCCAGGGCTCCAGGATGGGGAGAAACCTGATTTACCTAACTTTCAGGGGGCACCTACAGGACAGGGAGTCCCACAGCAGCTTCCAACTCCTGACCCTCCATGCAGAGCTTGGGGCCTGTGAGATGTACGATGGGAAGACTGCCTGGTACCACACGGCTGTGGCTCAGCTCCTCTGAGAGGGGCTCTCTGGCCTGGATCGACCTCACAGAGCAAGGCTTGAGGCCAAAGGAAAAGACACGCCTGCTGCCCGGGCAGAGCCAGAACCAGCATGCCCACAGGCAGAGACCCAGACGCCACTGGCAGGCCGTGCACTTGGCCCTAGACACAGGACCTCTTGGACACCATGCTTCTTGCTAAGGCTGGTGGAGTGGAGCCTCAAGCCCAGAGATCCTGGGTGTGCAAAATTCCTTTCTCTTAAACCTGAAGGGGTTTAGCACTGCGTCCCCCTCCTCACAAGGAGAGTCAGGTGATCAGATGTACTGCCTCACCAGACAGGGGGTATGGCCAGTTCCATGCACAGGCGGGGGGTGTGCTTTGGGGGGTCATTTCTCATCACCTTTAGAAACTAAACTACAGGCCAGGGCCGCTGGGAGAGACTTACGTCAGGCAAGGAGTCGATGAAGGCGTGGATGTTGGCCTCTTTGGCTGCCTTAATGATCTCGTCCTGGGACACCACCCGGCTATTGTCTCCATAGGCGATGTTCTCGGCGATGCTGCAGTCAAACAGGATGGGCTCCTGGGACACAATTCCCAGGTGGGCTCGCAGCCACTGCACATTCAGTTGATTTACTTCTTTGCCATCCAATAGCTGGAAACAAGAGTTCACAGGTCAACCTCAGCACCAGCACAACCTGAACTTGGCAGCACTACCGGTGTTATTTCACACACCAGAACTGCCACGTTACCGCGAGACTAGGGGAGCTCTTGTCAGTGTTGCTTTTAGGGGGGACAGTCCAACCACATGCTGCAAGGATGTCACGTCTCCTCTGTTTTAACCCTGGCTGCTCATATGTGCATGGGGCAGGCAGAATGAGGCCCCTCCAACCCCAAGACGTCTGTGCCTTAACCCCTGGAACCCGTGAACAGGTCACAGAGCCAAGTGGATTAATCAGATGACTTTATTGCTTTATTAATCAGATGACTTCATTACTATTGTTTAAAATTTATTTCACCTTATTTGAAAGGCAGCGAGACACAGACTGATCTCAAACTCACTGGTTCAATCCCCAAATGCCTCTAAGAGGCTGAACCTGGGCAAGCCGAAGCCAGGAGGGTGGAATTCAGTCTGGATCTGCCACGTGGGCGGCAGGGACCCAACTACTCAGGTCCTCTCTGCTGCCTCGCAGGGTGCATGCTGGTCAGAAGCTGGAATCAGAAGCAGAGCTGGAGCTTGAACCCAGACTGCACTAGGGTACGCAGGTGTCCAGGCGGCATCTAAACACTGTGCCAAACACCTTCCTCCAGATGAGCTTAAGTAAGATGATCCTCGTGGGCCCACTGTATTCCCACGAGCTTTGTAACTGCGGCGGAGCATCAGAGCAGTGGATGGATGGAGGACGGGGCCACAGGAAGACGGACCCTGGAGCCTCCGGAGGGAATGCAGCCCCGCTGAGCGTCAGTCGAGCCGGCTGGGCTTCCCTCGGACTTCCGACTGCCAGAACTGCAACCAGATGTGAGCGCTGCTGTAAGGCACTGATCGGAGGTAACTGGCTATAGCAGCCTCAGGAAACGAACACAACACCTGGTACTTCTGGGATGTACTCTGCATTCTTATGCTTACATCTCAATTGTGCACAGGAAAAGTGGCCAGGAAGCAAATGACAACTAGGACCACATCATTTATTTGTAGGCTGGGTTTCTGCTCTGACCTGAGCTGGAGGAACCAGATACACTCAACAAGAGATGTGAAAGTGGGAGGGTGGCTGCTCTACCCACCAGGAGTTGCTCATCTGGGGAACTTCTCTGACTCTGTTCCCTTGTAGGTAAAATGGGCACAATGCTGATTCCTAAACTCACAGAACTGAAGACTAAATAAGACCCCACTTGGCACAGTGCAAAAGCCATTCATCCCCCCTGAAGAAGAACCCAGTGACCCAGCCTGGAGCTTTTCCAGTGGTGGTAGTGAGTGTGTACTGAGCCACATGCAGGTGCCCTGGAGAGAGCCACACCTGGGGAGCCTGGAGCTTTGCTGCAGGAGTGTGGCTCATGCTCGCGAAGCCCACAGATGCAGGGATGGAATGCACGACCAGGACCTTATTGGTACCAAGTATAGTTGCCATGGAGACTATTCCAGGCATACATGCCCCAGGCTTCCTCACAGTGTTAATAAGGGGGAAGGTAAAACAGGGGGTGGAGAGAGGCGGCACAAATTTGACGAGGATGTGGCTCAACAACAGAACTCGACAGATGGACTACTCTACATGATAAATGGAAATCTGAGGAAAGAAAGGGTTGGGTCTTTTGCTGTTGCTGTTTGTTTGTTGTTTAGTTTGGAGGTTGACAACACCTGTGAGAAAAACACTGTCCAACACAATCCCAGGCAAATCCAAACGACGACCCCAGCAAGTTTCGATGAGCTTCTTTACTACAATGAATATGGTAACTCCCCGGACCTCTTCCTCCCCACCTCTGAGAGTACTTTCTTTAAAGAAACTATGCTCAGAAGGCCAGTGTGCAGAGGTCTGAGGGAAGACCACGAACTCAAGGGAATCTGGGAAAACTGCTCCAAAGATTCCGGCCTCAAGAAAAACACAGTCGGGAAGGCAGAGGCACTGGTAAGGAATAATGTGAGGCCCAACTAAAATGGCTGCCTGTGCCAAGCAGAGACTGTAAATCCACGGCTTGCTTAAGTTAGTGCACATAATCGAATTGTAAATATGTATTCTTCTGTGTGCCTACAATCTGAAACAGTAACAGATGAAAACACCAGGCACCGGTGATACCGCAGGCTCGGTACCAGGTGTGAGCAAGCCTCACTCTGTTCCCTTGCTCATCTTCATGACCCTCAGAGGTAGCAAGGATCTTCACCCCCATTCCACAGATAAGGAAATGGACCGCCCTCATCTTGGTCCAGGTACCTGCTGGGTTATAACCAGGCATTGACGAGAGGCTTCTAACTGTATTTGAAAGAAGGTAAGGGACTCTGACTGCAGGGTGTGGGGGTAGGCCGAG